ACTAGAGAACCCATGTTAGATGTGACCCAAGAAGGCTGTGGATGCCCCATCCCTACAGGCATTCGAGGCCAGGTTGGATGTGGCTCTGGGCAGCCTGGGCTGCTGGTTGGTGACCCTGCACATAGCAGGAGGTTCAAACCAGATGATCATTGTGGTCCTTCTCAACCCAGGCCATTCTATGGTTCTATGACTCTATGATGCCAGACAGATGGAAGAGAACAGGCTGAGAAGAACCACCACCATTTTCCAATTGTCACGACACAACGTAACGTTTCTTACAACTTCTGGGTTAGCCAAGCCAAACATAAAAGAAGACATCCCCAGTTACATTTGTGCAGATTTGTCTCTATCTTCAGAGTTCATTAAAAGAACTGCTTTCATCTCGTTAGCTTGCTAAAACATTTCCAACAGGACTAGATGTGTCATGTCAGAATATGACAGGCAAATTTCTTTTCAGGTTTTGAAAGTAGGTTGAAAGAGGAGAAGCTATGCAGTTCACTGTTGTCACTGAAAGATATTTTTACTGTTATGAGTTTCTTATACAAGAAACAAATTAAGAACTGTCAAGGAAAAAGAAAAAACCCAAACCTAAAATGTATTCTGTCTTGCCTGCTAATATAGTTACTGCTTTTCTCTAAAATTTCTCAGCCTAATAACAAGAAGTACAAGGAGATGAACTATGATTGCTAGCGTTTTCTTTTATAAGCACCATAATCCAAAGGGAAGGGGAAAAAGTGCTGAAAATACAATTCATCTTTTGCAACTACAAGCCAAAACAGATAGCCTCACTTTCCTCTTCCCCAGCCCTTATTTCTGCCCAGTTCAGAGGGTGCTGTGCCATTGCAGGGCATGGGAAGCGGCACCCACAGCACCCAGGGATGCAAAAAAGCATCTGGGAAGGGGCTGAAAGCACAAAATTGCTGAGGGCTGAGCCGCAGACACACAGCAAAGAGCAAGGCCCCGAGTGGGTGTTCACAACACATCGCTGGGTTTTGATGGCATTTACCATCAAATTGCTGAGACGGGCTGTAAACCAGTGGGTGGGGACTGTTTCTCACTCGGAAGAAGTTCATTAGATTATCAGTAATTCAGTTACATGGAGAGCATGTAGAGCCTGGAGCTGTTTCGAGGGGCTCTTTGATAAAGGTCAAAACAATATATCAGCAGGCTATTGGGACTGATGGCTGTTGGGAAGAAGATGGTACATCAAGAGAAATGTTGTACTCTCGCCTGATTTTTCCCTTTATTACACACTCCCATCTTTGGTGCAACTTAAATGCAAAAAGAGATGGAACTGCAAAGATGCCCATCAGTGGGGCACTGCCAGCACTGCTGAGGAAATGAGATGAGACTGTCTGGGAGGATATAGGGGGCTGGAAGCAAAAGCCAAAAAAAATACATATGTCCCAAAAACCCATGATTTTTGCTGTAGGCAGGTGAAGCCCTGTGTCCTCCTGAATGCTGCAGCCATCACTAACCTCTTGTTTGGGAAGGAGGAATGGCTCACCATCCAGAAAGGCAGCTGCTGAGTAAGTGGCCGGACCTTGGTTCTGAAGCCATGCCAGCTAATTCAGGCACTGTGCATTAACATTTAAATGCTGAATTCCCCAGTGTTCAGGGAATAGTTCCTCCCTGCTCACCACTGGAACACTGCATGCATCTGACTATTCTGCTGAATAGTAACAGGCTGAGATATTGGTGTTGTCCTAGGCTGGGGCTGCTTGATGAACAAGCACATTCACCAGAGTTGTAATTCCCTACAAAGTCCCACACACCAATAACAAGTCTTGCCTCAAAGCTACCATCCAGATAATCCAGAAAAGGAAATCAAATTCTGCCTGCCCTCAATGTTTACTTCAAGATATAAGATCTTAAAAAATGTTGGCATTTATTGCAGTCCTACATCAAAGCGAGCTCGCAGAGACCAGGTGGGGGGAGAGACAAATTTCTCTTGAATCACCCTCACCCTCTGACTGGCATTTTCAAAGGAGCTCCAGATTTGCCTGATAAAAGCTATTTTTCAAGGTGCAGAAAACAGCCTGGTCACTGTCTGATTCTGAGCACACTGGCTTGCGTGGCACACGTGCACCTCTCGGGGTGCTCCCCAAGCCACACAGCCCTCCTCTTGCTTTTGACACATGGACGAGGATGCAAAAGAATCCTGAGCAGACGCCACCAGCCAGGATGAGCACAGCCAAGGCACAGGGGCTGTGGGAGCCATCACCCTGTGCTGAGGGAAGCGCCACAGTGCCCGTGTTGTCACTGCCAATGCAGGCTGGCCTGCAGCCCTACCTGGCTGCGCCCACCTGCACCTCCTTTCTTCACTGCTGACTCCCCGCCACCTGCCAAAAGGTGCCTCCAAGCACTGATCAGCCCCAAGCCCCGTCCTCGCTAAGCTCTACAAGCGCTGCAGTTCTACCTGCTAGTTCTTCCCCACTACCCACTACCTCAAGGACTAACCGGGCAGCACGTAACCTCTCCTCAGCGCTCTGAGCAACGCCTGCTCTCCGTTCCTTTGTCTTAGCATTTTCTCATCTGCCTGCACATTCCTGTGCTCCTTCACGAGGCGACAGCCGAGTGTGAAACTGCCGTAGCCATTCACGGGGCTGAGATTTATTATCTAGAGGCGCACCAATAACACAGCATTAAAAAAATAAAACAGCGGTCTCTTTCATCAAAATCTAATGAACGCGCAATTTAATCTTTATTAAGAATTCATTAGGTTCTCAGCAAGCCCGCGTAATGGAGCTTGACCAGGTGAAATGCTAATGCCTGCATTATATTTAAATTAATTTTCAGAAGCGTTCGTTTCCCCGTGGCGCCCTGCAGCGCCGGCTCCCTCCGGCTGCTCCCAGCAACGCCGCGTCCCCACCCAGCCCAGCCTTACGCGGCCCCGCTGCACGCCCAGAGCTGCCACCGCGGCAGCCAGCTCCGCATCTTCAGGCACAGGGCTGCAAGCTGCCGTGCATCACGCTGGGGCTGCTTCCTTGAAAGGACAGATGCACAACAGGCTATTTCTCAGCCCTCACTCTACTAACGTAGCCCAGCGAGCCGGCTGTGATCTGGAACCGGTTTGGTTTAAACAGCAAGAACTCTGCTCCCCGCAGCACGGGAGCCCCGTGCACGGTTGTGTAAGGCCACAGCTGCCCCTTCTCAACAGCTGCCGCTGTTACTGTGGCAGCCACAGCCTCTCTTTCCACTAAACCGTCGCCCGCCATTCCAGCACGCTTCCGCAGAAGCGATTCCTAGAGATTAAATAATTTATTGCTGTTCATCTGCAGTAGCTCCTCTCAAGATCCACCTTTCACATACAAACCAAACCCGTCCTCCCAGCCCCAAATCCAGCCTCAAATCCCCGAAGCCGGCCCCAAATGCCCTTTCACGGGGGGCTCGGTGCCTTTGCACACCGATAGCAGTGGGAGAGGCGGATGGAACGGCGCTGAGGGCGAGGCTGCTCGCTGCCACAGCCCTGCAGCTCTGTGGGAAGAGCGTTGCCTTGGGCGGGGACGGTGGTTCGGTCCTCTGGAAACCCCCGCAGGGCCGGCTATCCCCGTACGCTCACGGCACCGAGCCGGGCTGCGGGCCCGCGGCGAGCCCACGCCCGCGGGTTGGCGAGCGGCGCCCGAGCCCCTTCGGCTGTTTCCGAGCCTGTTCGGCTCCCCCCCGACCGCCTCCGAGCGGTCTCCGAAGGCAGCCGAGCTCCGAGGGAGGAGCCGAGCGCAGCGCCAGCGGCGGTTCGAGTCCCCGCTGGGCGCTGTCCACCACGCGAACCGCCTGAAAGCCGCACCGCGCCGCGCCCGCGGGACAACGCGGAGGGACTGCGGATGGCAGCGGGCACACCGCCCGCACCGCCCGCACCGCCCGCACCGCCCGCACCCCGCGGCCCGAGGGCTCCTCCCAGCCACCGGCTCCTCCGCTATCGGGAAACAAGAACCTCTCCGTGCCTCTACCACTGTGACACCCAGCCCAGTGCACAGCTAAGGCGCCTGCTCGTTCCAGTGGGAAGCTGGGGCTGGATGGGCTTTAATTAATAGGAAGAAAAGGGAATGGAGTTGTTCTGCACCTCCACACCACCGTTGGTTCCCTGCACCTTCACTGGCTTCCCCGCGCCTCCATTAGCTCTGTGTGCCTCTGCTGGCTCTCCCACACCTCTGTTGGATCCCAATGCCTCTGTTGGATCCCCATGCCCACATTTAGCTCCCCACACCTCCGTTGGCTCTCCCACACCTCTGTACGCTCTCCCACACCTCTACATGCTCTCCTACATCTCTATAGGTTCTCCCACATCGCCAGTGGCTCTTCCATATTTCTGTTGTCTCTCCCACACCACCATTGACTCTCCCACATCTCTGCATGCTCTCCCAGGTCTCTAAAGGCCCTCCCACACCTCTGTTGGCTCTTCCACATCTCTACAGGCTCTCCCACATCTCTGTTGGCTCTCCCAAACCTCTGCAGGCTCTCCAACCCCTCATTAAGCTCTCCCTCAGCCCCGCTGGCTCTCCCCTTGGAAGCACTGCCTGGCCACGTGCTCAGATCACCGTGTGCCGGGGGCACGGTGTGGGGCAGCCATACCGGCCCATTCCCACTGGGGCCTGGCACATCTGTCAGGGAGATGCTGCGTGAGAACAGGGCTGATTTTTTCAGCGCGTCGGGTAGCGTGTTTTTCTTTTCCCTTTTTAATAACCCGTTTTCAATGTAATTGGCAACCGGCAGCCAAGTTCGCCTCTCATTAATTAAAAGGCTCAAATCTCGGGTAAAAGGGGCTTTGGGCGGCAGCGTTCCTCGCTTTAAATCCGCATTACGGGCGGATTTCGTGCTTTTTTCCCCCCCTCCTCCTCCTCCCGAGCGCCGGTCCCAGCCGCGGCCGCCCCCCCGCCGCCCTCAGCCCGGCGTTCAGCACCACGGGGCCCCGAACAGCAGCGGCCGCCGCCTCCCGCCCAGCGCTGCCCTCGGGTACAACATGGCGCCCGCGGCCCTCCGCGCCGCCCCGCGGCACTCACTTCATCTGCTTCACGATGGTGCTCTTCCCCGACTCGCCAGCCCCTGCGGGACAGAGAGAGAGAAGCGGTGAGCGCGGGGCGCGGAGCGCAGCGGGGCGCGGAGCGGAGCGGGGCTCACCGAGCAGGAGCAGCTTCACGTCTTTGGCCGCGCTGATGCCGTCCTCCTTCAGGTTCTTCTCGATGGCCTTGCTGCGCTCCAGGGCGGCCCGCTCCTCGGCGCTCAGGGTACATCCCATGGCGAAAAGGGATTTAATTTAATTTCAAAAAGGAAAAAAAAAAAAAAAAAAGGGGGGGGGTAAAAAAAAAAAAAAAAGCGCAGCCCCCGCCGCCGCCGCCGCCGCCGCCCGGGCGCAGGGAGCAGGAGGCAGCGCAACGCCGAGAGCCGCGGGGATTAACAAAGGCCTGCGGGCTCCGCAGCGGCGGGGCCGGCGGCTCCGTGCCCGAGCGCTCAGCGCATCCACGGGCTGCGGGCAGCGCGGGCGGCCGCGGGCGGGGCGGGGCGGAGCAGAAGGAGGAGGAGGAGGAGGAGCGGCAGGGGGAGGAGGAAGGCCGGAGGCGGGGGTGGGTCCGCGCCGCTCCGGGCTGCGCGCTTAGCGGGCGCGGGGCTGCGGCGGGCGCTCTGCTGGAGGCGCGGCGGCGGCGGCTGTGCCGGGGGAGGGAGCCGCGATCCGCGCTCCGCCGGCCTCGCCCGCTGCCGTGACGCGCGCGCCCCGCGCATGCTCCCACCGCCCCGCCTCGGCGCCGCACGGCGCGGCACCGCCGCTCTCCGGCGTGACGGGATCCCTCGGTGGCGGCACCGCCGGCATCCCGGCTTGTGTCAGCGGCACCGCAGCCGGCGGGAGCGGGAGCGGGAGCGGCTCGGCCCGCTGTAGGGCGCTGCTGGGGGCACGCCTCTGTGCTGTGCTGAGCTCTGGGTCCATCAGTGCGAAAAACACATGAAGTGTGTCCAGGGAAGGGAACGGAGCTGTGAGGGGTCTGAGCACAGCGCTGTGGGAGTGAATGGGGTGGGTCAGCGTGGAGAAGAGGAGCTCAGCACAGAGCTCTGCAGCCCTGACAGAAGGCTGTGGGAGGGGATGTCAGCCTCTGCTCCCAGGTAACGGCGACAGGATGAGAGTGATGGCCTCATGTTGAGGGTCAGGTTGGGTATTGGGAACAACTTCTCCCCAAGAGCAGTGACGCAGTGGCACAGCTGCCCAAGGATGGGGGGAGTCACCGTCCCTGGGGGTGTCCCGGAGCTGTAGGGATGTGGCACTGAGGGATGTGGGCAGTGGGGGTGGGCTGGGATTGGACCTGCGGATGTGAGAGCTCTTAATGACTCTATGAAAGGCCTGTGTTGTAGGGAACAGGCTGCCCTCTGCCATGGGCAGCCAGGCCAAGGAGCACGCTGGAGGGACGGAGTTGCTGCACACCCTGCTGTGCCTCCCTGTAAAACAGAACCAGGAGGATGCTGTGGGGCCGCTGCCCGCTGTGACCCATCCATAAGGAAACACCGGGTCCAGGTGGGGCTGGGCAGGGGCTGCCATTTCCTGGGCTGGGAGCTCACGCTGCACCAAGCCTCCTGCGGGCTCTTCTCGCAGCTGCTCTCCCGTGTTCTGCACTTCCAGTAGCCTCACACCCTTCCTGTAGGGGTGGAAATAAGATTTCTATAGACACAGCTTCCCTGGCTCTCTCCTTCTAGAAGGCATCACCTCCTTACACGACCTCCTTCCCATAAAGCACTGTTTCCATTTTCCCTCTACACCTCTGAAACAAAGGGGAGAAACAAGGCATCTGGTTAACAATGTAAAGTAGGGATGTGAGGCAGAGCAGACAAAGGGAAGTAGAAAGGAGCTCATAAATAATGTTAGCATACTCAAGGGCCAGCAGTATTTACCGAACATTTGTGAGCTAATAGGTACTGAATATCTGAATTTGGGGTAATTTATTTCTGGGAGCCCAGGGGACCGAGGGTATACCTGCATGGAAAAGCAAGCCTACTGCTTGCATTCAGCAGGGAGCAAAGCGGGGTGGGGGTGGCTGCAGAGCAGTTCCTGCTCTTTCATACTTGAGCAAATCTCTTGTGTAAAATCAATAGGATCAGAATTTCAATCAATAGGTTTCATTTCAATGGTACCAGCTGGAGGGCATTATGAAAAGTGCAGTACAGGAAAACCACAATCCAGAAATCCAGAGGCGGTGTCCTCATGAGATGGCTGCACTTTCTGCCCATCTACCCAGCAGCTTGCCAGCCCTGGAATCATGCTGGGATCCTCTTGAAGGATTTTTTTAAGAGAATTAGTCTTTTGTATCAGCCTCTGGCTACTTGTTAATAGGCAAATTTGTACGAGAGCTGCTCTGAAAGCAGTGCCTCCTCTTTTATGATGTTGTCCCACAGTGTCAGAGGCGGATGTTGGTGGTATGGCAGTAGAGGCTGAGCCTTCCTGCCAATATTCCATTACATTTTGCTGTTGTGTGGCAGCAGTAAAGGGGCAGCCTGACAGGATGCCATCTGGCATGGGAGCGCATACAAAGCAAAGGTGTGGAACCGATCACGGAATCGTTAAGGTTGGAACAAACCACTAAGATCCCCAGATCCAACCCTCAGCCCACCCGACCATGCCCACTGCTCACGTCCCTCAGTGCCACATCCCCATGGCTCTGGGGCACCTCCAGGGACAGTGACCTCCTCACTTCCCTGGGCAGCTGTGCTGCTGCATCACCGCTCTTCTGGAGAAGAAATTTTTCTTAACGTGCAGCCTGAACCTCCCCTGGCTCAACTTGAGGCCATTGCCCCTCATCCTATCACTATTTACCTAGGAGAAAAGGTTTTGCTGGTGCAGATTTTTATGAGCACAACTTGCAGGCTCCTGTTCGTTGCTAGTAATATGCATGGCTAATAGTGGCTGCGTGAAAAAATAATGTTCTGTAGCTAAGATTTTGCTCTATCAAACTGTGTTGTGCTTTTTGTAGCTGCTGTGATTTCCACAGAAATAAATAGAAGGCATTACTTTCGGAGCAACCTGAACCTCCTGCCATTGAGAAAATTTCTCTTTTCCCTGACGGGTGCAGGATCTGTGCTTGGCATTTTGTGCAATGCACGCTCTTAGGCTCTCCATGAGTACCCACTGATTTCTTTCCCGGAGGAAAGCTGGCAGTGGTTGGGTCATCGCCTTGTGCTCTCAGTGAGATTCAGGACAGCAGCTGCGAGATCGAGCCGTTGCTGAGCCGTTTTTGTGCAGCTGCGAATTGAGCAGAGCTGATGGAAATGTTTCCTTTGAAATTTTTGTAGTGGGAATTTTCATTTTTTGACAAATCTGCTTTTTTTTCGCGGCAGATGAATTTCAAGAACTGAAAAGAAGAAAGCCTAACCTCCCCCACCGAACCAGCAAAACACGTACCAGCCTACTTGGCTTCAGAGAGAATTATATAGAGTTTTGTTCCTGAAAATGATGTTTCCATTTTTTCAGGACCCGACTGAAGTCTTCTTCTAATAAAAAGTGGTTGTTTTCAGTTAAAAAAAAATAAAAATCAGATTAAGACAGGGGGTGAGAACCGTTTCTTTTCCGGCCAGTCCTGCAGTGAAGCTGGCCTACTCCAGCTGTGTGAAGAGTGCGGGGCAAGGAGGTGGGAGCTGGAAGCGTGCCTGGAGCTGAGGCTCAGGAGCCCTGACTCGTCCCTGCGGAGCATCACGAAGCCCACACCAAATGCACCAAGCGCTCCTGCCATCTCACCATTAGGAAGTTTTCCCCGGATATTCAGCCTAATTTTTCATTCTTTGAATTGATGTCAATTACCCCCCAGCTAAACCTAGTTATGCGGTAGAAGACAGGTTTAAAATACTGCATGATCTCACTAAATTGAAGAAATGGACTGGAATCGATACAATGAGAGGCAATAAGAATGCCCATAAAGGTTAAGTGGTTGGTGGAGGAAGGATTAATGAAATGCACACGTACCAGGTCAAGTTGCAAATACCCTCACTTTGTTCTTACTCACTCCATACTCCACAGATACGTTCTGGTCCTTCCAATTGAATGAGGTGCCTCAGAATCTGACTCATGACTTGGAGAGTTATGAGACCAGCGTCAAGGAATGGTTGGGTTCAGTGCATGGAAAATGCAAGAAAAGGGTTTTACTGCTTCTTGTTTAATTCTGCAAAGAGCCCCAACTGGTGGCTTCTCCAAGTGAGGAAGAACACTGCCAGCTCCTCTCCTTTCCCTGCAGCAACTTTCAGCTCAGCCTACAAAGGTTTTTCAGCGCCGATGTTTTCCATTTTCTAGTGGTTCAGGGACACGTGGCAGATAAAGAGAAAAGCTTGTAGGCCTAAAAAAAAAACAACCAAACAACCAGAAGTAGAATAATGAACTTTCGATACTGATCATTGGAGAGAAAATCAGTGCAGGTTCCCTTGTGGGTCTTCTCATTCCTGGGGACAGGTTTGTGTAGAGATGCCTTATTTTCTGTCCTTTTGCCTTGTCTGATTTCTGCCTGTATGGCACTGGGTAAGCCATACCTCGGCGGAGATGTGAGAATCTAAATGAAACAGAACTAAATGTGGGGAAGAAACTTATTCCTGTCTATTTTCTGCTGTATGGAGCTATAATAGCATCCCTGGTTCAGCAGGTGCACGGGTAACCTTGCAAAGCTGTGAGGCTGCAGCTATGCAGTGCTGTCCTTCAGGCAGAGTGAGATAATGCCAGAGTGAGATGGGGTGTTTGACCTTGGCTTGGGTTTTAAGGAGGGCAAGGGCCCATAAGCCCTTTGCCACTCATCTTTCCTCAGTATCAAGGATGGGGATCTCACAGGAATGAAAAAAATCTGCCACAACCCAGGAAGACGGGTTAAAGAGGCAGCCCTGGTTCCTCCATGCAGAGAAACCCATCATTGCTTGGGCTCCACGAAACCAAGTTTAACCTCTGCGCGGTCTTAATGAAGCCAAGTTCAACCTTCTGCATTAAGCATTCAAGTTCAGCCATGCAGTTGATTGCCTGTGAGTGCCATTTTACCCAGCTACTGTCATCATTTGCAGGATTTGGATAGACAATTTAGGCAGCTCTGTTTACAGCACTTCAGTAGCATTCCTGTGTTTATAGAAATGCCATCCAGAAGCCTTGCAGCTCTCATCCACACAAGTAGTCCTGATGAGGGATCTTATGGAGGAACGCTAATTCTGTCCCTAAAAATATGAGCACATTCTTACCTCGTAGCTCTCAGCAGCTACTCTAAGTGCAAATACACCATTTGTTAAATGCAACTCCTACCATTTTTCTCTGCAA